GTGTAACGAGTTGTTGGTGTGAGTTTGGTTTGAGAGACTCTTTCTCTCTTTTGTTTTTGGGTGATGAACGATTTACGAGTTTGAAGTTTAAACAATTCTAAATTGCTGCCTACATTTGTTTATTGCAATGGTTTACTCTAAAAATAGGAATCATTTGGGATTTAATCAATCGATAATTAATTTATCAAATACGTACTCCATCTAGAAATACAAGCTCAATAATGTCAAGTCGTTATAACCTTTTTGTCGGCTTATCTTCAAGACTTCAATTATAGACCTCTTTTTCAGATGATTTTTCAAAAATAAGTCATTACCAACATATAAACTCAAAAACGATTGTAATGAATATTCGCTTTTTGCACCATGTAAAGGTTTATGTATCTTTGATTCAAAAGTAGGAAAAAAGTAGCTGACCCACACAAACTCATGTCGCTACATGTTGGGAACGTTTCAAATGCTATGAATAATCTCTATCAAATGTCAATACACAAAAATTTAAAACAATTTGAAGCAAAAAAAAATAATCGATATGATTGGGCTTTAGTCTAAGGCCCAATGATTTCGGCCCTTATAATTCCAAAAGGACGCTATTTACACTGTGTCACACATCTATTTTTACACGTCAGCTTCCTTCGCCGGCGATTATTACCACCGTCGAACTCGCCGCCGGCCAGAGAGAAGATGGCGTATTACCAACCGTACGATCCTTTCTACGTCTATCATCCTCATCCTCTTCCGCAGCAGCTGCCACAGTTCTCCGACGAACCTGGGGCGATTAACACGCTCTTTGTCTCTGGTTTGCCTAACGACGTTAAGGCCCGTGAGATCCACAATCTTTTCCGGCGACGACCCGGGTTCGAGTCTTGTCAGCTCAAGTACACTGGACGCGGAGACCAGGTTCCATTTTCAGAAAAGCTGCATACTTTCTGATTCTATCCATGTGAAGCTTTTGGAATTTACTTCTTCTTTGTTTCCTGGGTATTTCAGGTTGTTGCATTTGCTACATTCTCGAGTCATGGATTCGCTATGGCTGCAATGAATGAGCTAAATGTAAGCTTCACTTTGATCGAATTTTGATGATGTTGTAATTTCTTGTGTGGTAGATTTAGTGTTGTTTGATTAATGCTGAAATTTGTTTCCAGGGTGTGAAATTTGATCCTCAAACAGGATCAACTTTACATATAGAAGTAGCTAGATCAAACTCTAGAAGAAAAGAAAGGCCAGGTATATAGATTTTACTTTCTTCTTGATGTTGATTATGAGTAACTGTGTTAGAGAGAATCGATGAGTGATCTGTTTTGAGTCTGCAGGAAGTGGGCCTTATGTTGTAATTGATAACCGAAACAAGAAACCGTCTACTCAGGACGACCAGAGTGATGAAGGTAATGATGCTTTAGTTACCTTGTGGATTCTTAATCTCTTAAACGCATGCTTCATGTTTCTGCTTGATCTTTGGTACATCCAGGGGATAGTGATCCTGATGAGGTACATGAACCTGGAAGTAGCGATTCGTCAAAGGAAAACGATAATGCCAAAAGGTTTAAAAAGGCATTTTTGAAGCTTGGTTTTTGTCGTCAGCCATGTTAAACGCAGATGATTAATTTACTGATTTCCTTGCTAATATACAGCGAAGCGGACTCTGATCCAGATAGTAAAGCACCATCTGCTAATGTAAGTAGAAGGCAACTCTAATTTGTTGAAGTTTAAGAAAGTGTTAATTGTTACTGTAAGTTACTTTCACATAGACTTGTTTCTGGTTCAATGATTATTGTGAAATTTCTACAGGGGCAATTGGAAAAATCATCTGAAAGAGGTTCTGGTGCTCGACCATGTTCGACCTTGTTTATAGCTAATCTAGGGCCAAATTGTACAGAAGATGAACTTAAACAACTCCTATCTAGGTAACATTATGCAATGGCTTCAACTTATAGCATTAGGATTTGCATATTTCTTGACAAATAATCATTTTGCCTTTACAAAAATCGATTGACCCGTGATCCCTTTGCTTTCAGCTATCCTGGTTTCAACATCCTGAAAATCCGAGCAAGAGGTGGAATGCCTGTTGCATTTGCTGATTTTGAGGTACAAATGGTTTTCCCTCACTAGTTTTACATGCTTGATTTTGTCTTTTGCGGTCTAGATGCTCAATCTCACCGATTACAGGAAATCGAACAAGCTTCTGATGTCATGAATGATCTTCAAGGCTACCTCTTATCATCTTCAGACCGAGGCGGGATGCATATAGAGTAGGTTTTCTTACATTCCACATCTCGCCAGATTATTGACTCATGGCTAACCAATGTGACACTAAGGTTCTTGTTTGATTCTCATCTAGATATGCAAGATCCAAGATGAGGAAACAGTAGAAGATTCTCATTATCTCAAGTGGAGAGTGTAGTCAGTAATGGTACAACAGGCCAATGGTGTTCTCTAGTGAAGACAAGATTTAGAAATCATAAGCAAATGAGAGCTGCATTTCTTATTTCAATCTCCACTTACTATTTATTGTCATTAAGATGAATCTTCTATGCTGACACTTTGAA